ACACATACATACACACATATACATACACATATATACACATACACATATATATACATACACATATATATATATATACATACACATATATATATATACATAGACACATATATATATATACATATAAATATATATACACATACACATATATATATAAACATACACACATATATATATATACATACATATATATATATATACACATATATATATACATACACATATATACTTACACATATATATACTTACACATATATATATATTTACACATATGTATACTTACACATATGTATACTTACACATATGTATACTTACACATATATATACATATACATATATACACACACATATACATATACATACACATATATATATACATATATACATACACATATATATACATATATACATACACATATATACATATATACATACACATATATATACATATACATATATACATATACATATAGAGAGGAGGGAGTTATATATATATGTGAATGTGTGTGTGTGTGTATAAAGAAAGAGAGAGAGAGAGGAAGAAAGAGAAAGAAAGAGAGAAAGAGAGAGAAAGAGATATATAAAGAGAAAGAGAGAGAGAAGGTGAATTGGTTCGAAATTCCTTAACCAGTAACTGTCATTGCTGCACACGACACGCAGTGGAATCCCTTATCTGTCGCCTATATAAGCGTAAAGCGTTGCCTGTGCAGTGTTGATACAACTTCAAAATGCCTGATCCTTGCTGTAACGGTAAGAAAGTTTGTTAATATTCTTTCTCTAAAGTTGTGAAGTATATATTTCTTATTTCAGACTTTACCAGAAATTCCATAACAGAAATGTTTAATCTTTCGCATGGTGATCAGTGTTATTATGAATTTACTGTTGATTCTATCATTTTTCTTTTCAGAGAAATGCGTTTGTGCCGAGGGTGTCTGCACGAAGAGCTGCAAGTGCACAAGCTGCAAATGTAAGTATGAGGACCTCTTTTTTTTTTTTTTTTTCTTATTTTAGATCATTTCGTATCTGTAAAAGATGCATCTTTTGCAGATCACCCCAATGCGAAAAGGCAGTCTACAGATTGAATTTTTGCGTTTATTAGAAAATAATTTAATATAAGCTGTAAAAGGTCGATCTTTTATAAAACGACCCAATGCCGACGGGCATGACCAGTACGTACATGTCATGCCCACTGAGTTTACTTGTTTAATTGTTTTACACTTGATGGCTGCACTGGTACTAAATCGCCATGAGCCAGTTATGAGTACTGCCAGTCTCGCCCGTTTACCCCTTTTCCTTGATTTACGAAACCTTAATCTTATCTTGCTGATACTTTGTTATAAACATTGATTAAAACTTTTATGATAAATTATAACCAATTGATATTTTTAGTATTGGTAAGAAAAATTACCGCCAATTCAAAAGGTCTACTAGTTGACTCCTTTGTAGCTAAGCAGTAGCGGAGCCATCTAATGTGCAGAAATATTGCTCAAATATAAAAAATGAGCACGGCATTTTCCCATGTTCTTATTTTCCCCGGCGGCACTGGGTTAAGAGGGAACTCTCCCTCTCTCTCTCTCTCTCCCTCACATTATAATTGCCTAACTATACATTATATTCTAGGCTCGTCTGGCTGCGCGTGTCCCTCCAAGGAGGAGTGCGCGACGAGATGCACGAAGCCATGCAGCTGTTGTCCATAGACGTGACTCGACTACTGCCTTCCGCATGACCAAGCAACAAAAATATTTATTCTTCTATCTCTCGTATGTTATGACTGAATTATTGGAATGTGTCTGAATAAATGAAAGAATGTGAAAAGGTGGTTTTTGATTCTCATTCTATTTATAAGATCTATGTTCCTGCCATATACATTTATGTATGTAAGGGAGAAGGAAAAACAAGAGGAGGGAGAAAGAAAATCGTATGCTATGACTGAATTATTCGAATTTGTTTAAATAAATGGAAGAAAGTGTGAAAAGGTGTATTAATTTTGTGTTGTAATTGTCTATTTGTAATGTATATAAAATGTGTGGCAGGAATGTGGATATGTGAGGGAGAAGGAAAAGACAGCGAAAGAATCGGACAGAGGAAGGGAGCGAGAGAGGCCTTTGAAATGTATCACATTTTACAATGATTTTATTCTGCAATTCCTTTCATTGTCCACTTATTCTGGCATTTATCTCTTGCTCTCTAAGTTACTATGCTTTTTTTTTTTTTTTTTTTTTTCCTTAAGGTCATCTCAAAGGCCAGGTTTTTAATGAATTTAGGCCTGACCAATCAATATCTGACTTTTCCTACGAAGAATCTAGGAAATCGGAACTTCCAAACAGGATGTATAGAAAATTCAGTTTTGAAGATTCTAAGAATGGAATTCAAAACTTCATCTACTGACTTTTCAGACATAATGTTCCTGTCTCTCTACATTCTGTCTCGTATAAAATGTCTATCCATCTACTTTTTCCCCCCCTTCTCCCTCTAACACCCGCTTCCACACTGGCGAAACGTC